CTCACGGTCAGATTCAAGGTTACTCGGTGGCGCGTGGTGTTCACGCCAAATTACGAGATCGGTTGATGAGTGAGAGAGAGAGATAGGTTGACACGAACGGAGAAATGGCGGAGACGGAAAAGATATTGCAAGTGTGAGGTTTAAGGTCTGGGCTTCATTTTAAGGCCCACTAAAATTTGAGTTTAAAAGCCCATAAAATTAGTCTCGAGATCAGAAAAGCACAACCACGCTTTTTTTGCTGTTGTGGGCGATATATGCCACGTGGCACATCTACTTTGGGATCTCCTCTTCTGCGACACCTCGTTTCCCTCCCTCCTTCCGCCGAGAGAGAGGAAAATAAAAAATAAATGCAATTGAAACGGAGGGAATATTCGCCGGCGAATTACCGGTAAATGTCTCAGTGTTTCTATTCGAATCCTACTTTTTCGGCGACATTACCCAGACCAAGTATTATTCTCTCTCTCGAATACGATTCGTCTCCCACTCCATGCCTATATAATACCCTATCCACCATGCGTCTCTCTAAACGCCATTTCTCTCCTTCTCTTTCTCTCTGTCTCTCTGTAATCTCTTCCGGTTTCCGTTTCCCTGGAAGAAAATTTCAAGCACGAAGACAGTTCCTCAACTCCTCTGCTGGTTCGTCTTCTTCTTCGACTTACTTCGTTTTTTTTCTTTTTCCATTTTTTTTGTTATTTCACTGCGTTTCTATGGAGTTTGCTTCTTTGCGTGGTGTTTTCTTGTTTTCTTAGTCGATTGATGTGATTTAACCACATGTTCAGTGACGTCTCTATGACTGATTTCGATCCTGCTTTGGATTTTCGTAGAACCGTTTTCGTTCTGTAGATTTTTCCACTGGGTTGATTAAACTGTGTTTGGCTGATTCTGGTAGTAGCCTAGTGCTATTAGTGTTTTCGGGAGTGAACCCTTGGATCGGGAAAGGAAGATGCAGGTGCTAATTAGTAGATTTCTTACGTCTTTAATCCGTGGAAGTGGCAATTTCTAGGTCTTCCCTGGAGCATTCCTTGGAAGAAACTTAGGATCAGGACTTAACGTGGTGCACGCTTTGGTCTTTTGATCGAGGTAAGATGTTAGGTTTGTTTTTTTTATTCTAGGGGGTTTTACTTCTTTTTTAACTTTGATACTTGGTGGTGCTAGTGGATCATGTTGATCGGTAAAAAATTTGGTCGTGTTGACTAATCCCAAACCTCTCACCCCCTGTAGAAAACGTGTCATCAGGTAGTATCATCTTCTTCCGTGCTTCTAATTTTAGCCTTGTTGGCTTCTGACTAACCAACCAGTTGCTTCTTCCGAGATTGATTTTAAGTGTATCCATTTTCTGGATTGAGCTATTCTATATGCTAATTGTATCTTCGTGTGTTGCATATAATATCTTATATATCCTACTGAGTTCAATTAAAGATAAATAAAAATGATGCTTCGTTTACTTGATCAACTCTCAGGGACTAGCCAGCTGTGTTTTAAGAGTTCCATGGAAGAACAGCGAGCTAGTGCTCTTAGTGAAAACGTGGTACAGTTTCACAATTTGGGCTCAATGGATGGATGTGAAGCTCCCCATAAATGGTCCTCCCCAGGAGGAGGAAAGAAAATTGATATAAGCAAACAGATCTTCTGCAATAGATCGCTGAATATGAGAAATATCATCGCCGTTGGTTTTGATATGGACTACACTCTTGCCCAATACAAGTCTGAAACTTTTGAGTCCCTTGCTTATGAAGGAACTGTCAGGAAATTGGTATATGATTTGGGGTATCCAAGTGAGGTTAGTATACTATATTGCTGTTTTAAGGTTGTGACCACCAAAAAAGCTTAGATGATCGTTATTTTTGCTGTGCTAAAAAATCCAGCTGCTGGAGTGGACATTTGATTGGAATTACATGGTTAGAGGCTTGGTGCTTGACAAAAAGCGGGGAAACATCTTAAAGGTGAATACCTTGTATCTGGCTTTCATGATGATTGTTGCCCCTTTCCTAATTGACTGTTGATATTGTAGATGGATCGCCATAAGTATGTGAAAGTAGCTTACCATGGGTTTAGGGAGCTCTCTAAAGAAGACAAAGTTGACATCTATGGCAGCAGCCTAATACGAGATTCTTTTGATGAGCCCGACTACGCTCTTATAGATACCCTCTTTTCTTTGGCCGAAGCCTATCTGTTTGCTCAACTCGTTGATTTTAAAGATAGTAACCCCGAAAAAATTCCCAAGGACGTTGAGTATGACATTTTCCCATATTTATTACTGTTATGCTTGAGGCTGTAATCTTATTACCTGATACGCTATAACTTATACTTGGGATTATTTTTTTTCTTTTAAATGTATCACTAATTTTTTTTCTCCTGCAATGTTGTTCTTTTAGTTATGCTCGTATGTATAAAGATGTTCGTGCTGCTGTTGATCTGTGCCACCGTGATGGAACTTTAAAGCAGATGGTGGCAAAAGAACCTAATAGGTAAGGACGTTGGTATGTTCTTTGCAAGTTGGATAAGTACAATGCCCCTCTGTAGCAAATATGTTTTCTTCTTTTCCATTATACATTTTTATAACTTGTTATTTTATCAGGTATATCAATGAGGATACCACCATTGTACCTCTTATAAAAATGATTAGAGATTCTGGACGTTCTACATTCTTGGTGACCAATAGGTAATGCTGATGATATATTCGTATAATTATTTATGCATATACAGTATTAACTTTTACTACCTAAATGGTTAATATGCTTCTGGCAGCTTGTGGGACTACACAAATATTGTGATGAATTTCCTCTGTGGAGGGCGCACTATACATGGTCCTCACACTTGCAACTTTGATTGGCTCCAGTATTTTGATGTTGTGATCACTGGCAGGTCCTCTTCTTTCTAAATCTCTTTAAATTAATGCTCTGAACAAAATTGTTATGATTAACAATATTAGGCAAGTTTATGGGTTATTGGTTATCAATTTGATATTTGTTTCTGGATATCTTATCTCATTTCATTTGTTTGCTTTCTGAAATGGATGTTTTTTTTGTGAAGTGCAAAACCTGGTTTCTTCCATGAAGAGAGTCGTGCCAACCTTTTTGAGGTGGAACCTCAATCTGGAATGCTTATTAATACTGACAATGGAACACCTATGCCTCAGGTTTGACTAAACGAATTGCGATGCACATTTAGGTCTTTCACATGCTACTTCGTATGCAAATAATCCTTGCGTCTCCGTTGCAATTCTTTTTTTTTCTTGAAAGGTGGGAGATCCTTCACCAAAAATTTTACTGAAGAGTAAAGATAAAGGTTGTCGAGTTTTTCAAGGTGGAAATGTGGGGCATCTTCACAGTTTGCTCTCCATTGAGTCAAGTTCACAGGTAGTGCGCACTAGCTATTTCTTAAAACCCTATTGTAACTCTAGCTACAGTCATGTATTATGAAATGACAGATATTCTATAGAACTCTGTTGTAACTGAATGTACCGTTCCATGCATCATGGAGTACTTACTCACCTACTCGATCTTATTAGGTTCTTTATGTTGGTGATCATATATACGGTGATATCTTGCGCAGCAAAAAAGTACTTGGTAAGGTTTTATTTTCCAGTTATAGACTTTTCTTCTGTTTTGTTAGTGAAGTATCTTGAAAAAATCGTCTTGAGTTTAAATGAGCTATGCTGAAAATAAAAATATGTTCTGTTATCCCCCTAACCCCGTATGACCGACAAGCTTAGCATCTAAGTAGGCCAGAAACACTCGTATGTTGATGAATAAAATATCATAGGTGTTAAGAGAAACTGGTAAAAGCGTTTTTGCTTGTGTTAGTTACTTGCAGCTTGATTTTCTTTCAGGCTGGAGAACTATGCTTGTTGTTCCAGAATTGGAAAAGGAGGTTGAACTTCTTTGGGAATTAAGGGATATGCGTAAGGTGAATGTATCCTCTTTATATATGTTATTATTATATGAGATAATATGAATGTGAAAAAATCAAGTGTTGTAGGACAATTCGAATGTGGGGCAAGTCTTCGGGTTTACCTTGATTCTTTCTTTGGTCTCACTCATTTGTAGTTCTGATATTTTTTTTGGTTTGCAGCAACATATTTTGATGAGGAATGAGCGTGATTCAGTTGAAGACAAAATTCATCACCTGAACTGGTCACTAAAGTGAGTGTATTTTAAACTAGAATCTGGACTAAAGAAAGCCGTGTTACGTAGATTAGAATTCTTAATTCTTAAAAGACATTCTCACAAATTTTTTTATCTGTGTAACTAATTTAAATCGTTCAGGTTTGAGGATATTAACGAGAGTGATAAGCAGGAAATGTTATCAGCGCTCAAGGACTTAGAGGTAAGATAGAATTTTCGTATCCCTGGATCTCCGGTAGTTGCTTTCTCATTTGAAGTCCTCAATTATGTTTTCGGTGGGATTCAACAGTCCAAGAGAGATCAAATACGACTAAGTCATCAAGAAGCTCAAAGAGAATGTCACCAAAAGGTAAATGTAGTGTATCGGTGTAACAACTAGTTTTTATTTCCAATTTGTTAAAAACTAAACTGCTCATGTTGTGGGTTTCGGCTACTGCAGTTTCACAAAGTCTGGGGGCAACTGATGAAAACTGGTTACCAGAGTTCTCGATTCGCTCACCAGGTAATGAAGGATAAAATATTTTGCTTTCTTATTATGAGAGTGCTTTGCGATTGTGGGGAGTTTGATCTTCGAAACCGCTTTTCTTCCAAAACAGGTGGAGAGATTCGCATGCCTGTACACAAGCCAAGTCTCGAACCTACGCTTGTACTCACCAGATAAGTACTACAGACCCAGTGAAGACTTCATGTCCCATGAATTCCACCTTCTTCCTCTGTGATTTGATCATTAAAGAACGATCACGCTAAAGTCAGACAGTAGTAAATGACTCAATGATTTGGTTTGGTGCTTATTCTTAGTGTCTATAAACTTTCTTAACCTCTTACACCCATTGCATTTTAATTTCACTTGGTACAAACTTGGGAATGTAGTAAAACGTTTTCTCTTGGAGATAAAAACTTGTTTGGAATTCTTGTGTTGAATGGTCGATGTTTTCTAGAGAGAAATTAGGGTTTACAAAAACTCCCTTTGACAATGCTAAGTACACAGTTCAATGTCAGGCCTCACGTTTTAACGTATCCTCTTTCTTTCCTGCTTCTCGTCAAAATTCTTCAAAAGTAAAATCTTTTTACTCTGCCTCACAATTTCATATTCTTCTCCACCCACACTCTTTCACTTCTGCTAATTTCGATGTTCAGAATTTCTCTGTTGAGCATAATCTTTATTCTACGAGAAGAGTTTAATCAAATTACGAAATACTTGAAGGTGTGTTGATATACATGTAACAGAAAGGCAAGCTGATTATTGATACACAACAAACAAACAAATCTTAGTAACGTTCTCAGCTCAATCAAAAACACAGCTGGAAAATCTGACATTTCTTGGTTTCTTCTTGTTCTACGCCAGAACAGAGAGAGGTTGAGAGAGGGAGGCAAAGAATGAATTTGTAAAAGATAAAACTGTCTTGAGTAATTCTCATCTGAACAAGGCTTGAAGTTCTTCAAGCGTTCTGCCTTTGGTCTCAGGGACCCATAGAGTCACGAACACCACTGTGAATGCACAAACCACCGCATATAAAGTGAAAGTTCCTGTCGAAGAAGTAACCAAAAACCCCATCATGAAATTGCTCTTTTGTGTCCCAAATGTGTGAGAGAAAAAGAGAAAAGAAAGTGAAAGAGAGAGAGGGAGAGACAGAGAGAGAGAGAGAGAGAGAGAGAGAGAGAGAGAGAGAGAGAAGAACCTCCACTGCTCCAGGCTAAGAGCAAGTTTGCAGTCATGGTGATCAACCAGGAGAAGAACCAGTTGGCTAGAGTTGCTATACTTCCAGCTAAACCCTTTATGTTCACAGGAAGGATCTGTGTATCAAAAAAATAACAAAAGCAAAAGGTAGTTTAATAAAGTGTTCTGCTTTTACATTCTTACTAAGTTCTAACTTCTAACTAACTCGATACCTCAGACATTATGAGCCACGGGATTGGTCCCATTCCCAATGAGAAAGAAACAACCATTGCCTGTAATGATTCAACAGAGTTACAGCGCAAATAAGCAAACAGATCTTCTTTAACAAAGTTTCGCTATCAAACAAACAAACAAACTTACCACAACTCCAACAACTGACAAGATGCTCAGCATACTGTACATGTCTGAGTCAGGAGACACAAATCCCTAAACAAGAGATGTAAAACTCAGAACGTCAAAAACCTCGGGTATGTTGCAGAAGATTAAAAGAAAAGAAAAAAAGTTGTTTAGGGAAGTTGAAACTTAAAAAGTACCTTAAGGTAGAAAGCAGCTGCAACAATTACAAGGCTAATCGTCATCCCAACTGAAGAGATCTAGAACACATTTCCATCTGCCTTATTAGTTGATTTCTCCAAAGAGAGAAGTCTTAAAGATATGAAACTAATGAACTAATTAATACTCACCGTAAGCAGAAGCCGACGACCTGCTTTGTCCACCAACCATGTCGATATTGCAGTCGCCACTACCTGAATAGCACCAACCCCAAATGTTGCTGCATTACTCGAAGTAACTCCTATAAACGAAAACACGAAATTATGTGGAAGTTATGTAATCATTTGAAACAAGAAGCATCACATGTTCTTAGAGCAAGGGCCTACCTGCAGATTCAAAGATTGTACTGGAATAGAATAGGACGCCATTAATTCCACCGAGTTGTTGAAGTACAAGCAACCCTATACCAACCTGTTACACTCACAACAACAACAAAAAATAAAAAGAGTTTTAAGGTAACGATTCTTATGGTAGACAAACTATATTCCAAAGGTAAGAAGTTCAATGTTTGTACCATAAGTGGGAAATAGTATCTCCTCCGCTTTAGATCTACAAACCGAACTGTAGATGATCGTTTGGTAGATGATGCCACAGATCTCTGCAGATATGCAGAAAATATGAAAAATCAGCCTTTAAAAACCATTCATGTAACTTTTGGAAGTAAAGATTTTCAGTGGTAATATATTACCTTGATTTCATTAACCTCAACGGTAATATCAGTCTCAAATCCTCGAAGGACTTGTAATGAAGTCTCAAAATCATCAGTCATACCCATTTTTGCCTACATTTTGAAATAAAGCCCCCCATAAGAGTGGATTAACCAAAATATGCACTGAGCTCAAGAAAAGTAAGCAAACTATTGTAAGGCGTACCAGCCAGCGAGGGGATTCAGGGATGAAAAAAAGACCTGGTATCAATATTGTGCATGGCAATATCCCTAAGGATAAAGGAAGATAAACAGAGAAAGTGATTAAAACGTATCGATAAATTATAATAAATAAATAAATGGTCTCAGGCTTTGTGTAATGAGATTTACCCAAAACTGCAAGAATTCTCCATGGAACAAAGAGGCCAAGTAAATAAGCCAACATTATTCCAATTGTCACGGAAAGCTACAGAGAAGTAAAACCCAACCTTTACTATTAGCTCAAAAGAATCGGATAATAAAACTGCAATGATGAACAAGTAAGTCAGCTAGACATGTCAAACCTGGTTAACCGAACCCAATCCTCCTCTCATATTCTGTGGAGCTATCTCAGCGATATAAACAGGCACCTAATGTCACAAACCGAGTTGCAAATAAATGTACTGGAAAGCATTATTCCATGAGCAAACAACTAGCTGAGTTGAGTATTACCGTGTAAGAGATGATCCCCACACCGAAGCCTTCTAATAGTCTCCCCATATAAAGAAAAGAAGTATCCTAACAAACGAAAATGATGCAAAGGTAAACAAATGTATTTTCAGATCGTCTTTTATGCGAAAGCCGAATAAAGAAATTGGAGAACAACAAATACTCACTTTTGCAAATGATATGCAAAGCCATCCAATGATGTTGGGAATTGCAGCAATCATCAGAGACTGTCCAAGAAAAAACAATAAGAGGTTAAGTAAAGCAAGAAAGAAGAGTTCATCAAATGGATCAAAACAGAATAATTCAAGAATCAGCAAAACAAAGCATACCCCTTTTCGTCCAATGTATTCTGCGATCTGACCACTGGCAATTGCACCAACCATAGCACCCACATTGGACAGAGACCCAAACACGGAGTACTAAAACATTGAGCAAGAAATCAAAGTCAAACACGATTAAACAAGCGAGACCAGGCAGCTCTAGACAGAGATCGGTCTGTTACCTCAGATACCGTTAAACCGAGATCCCTGGTGATTGCAGCTTGAGTTGGAGAAGAATAACCACACTGAACAAAATATATAAACGAAACAAGTCAGAAATTTCCCAAATTTAGTCTCCTCTAATTTTGCTCCCAAACATGAAAAATCATCTGGGGGTTCACCAAATTTAAACTTAATTCACCAGACCTGCATAAAAAATGACAAATCTCGAACCCAAGATCATCAAATTCACCTCAAACTAATTTTCCATAAAAAGTTACACCTTTCCACGAAGGAAGAAAAATGGATGGAAAAAGTTGAGATTTTTCTTAGTCTTACAGTGAATCCGAATTGAATAGGACCAAGAGCAACGATCAAAACACATGCAAGAACAGAGATTGAGCTGTCTCTGATAATTTGAGACGAACCCATCATACTCGACTGTCTCGAGCCCATCCGATACCAGCTTCCTGTGTGTATGAACGGTCGTCGCAGATCATTCCTACCCTCCTCCGTATCATCCCTTAAACTCATCTTTTGATTCTATCTACACTCTCAATCCTAATCTATAATCTTCTCTTAATATATCAAAGCTTCAAGATTTCGCCTCCTCACGAAGTAAAATGCCGATTCTAAACCGGAAAAGGCACCACAACAGAAAGAAGAAAAAAAACTCCTTTGGACTTTCTTCTGGAATCTAGAAATTGGGGTTTGAAGAGGAATTTGATGACGAAAACTTGGATAAGAACAGATTAAGAAACGCCGTCTTATTAAAAAAACGATTTTAAAAAGGATATGGGTGTTTATGGCTGTAATGTATAGTGTTTAATTGCTGGAGAGACGAGAGGGAGACTGCTTCAGAGAGTTTTTTAGATCACGGTTACTCGGTTAGCGTCGTCGCATAAACCAAATTTAGACAAAATAAAGGTTCTTGTTTGGATATTGTGGATAATACTATGTTGGATTTTTTCCCTAACATTTTTATGTCACCCAACAAAATTCTAAAAATTATTATGCAATTTTGAGAAAATATGCTGGCAATAAATCAGAAAACGACGGTCGTTCTACTTTATAACAATTTTTTTTTTGTTATTTCGGAAAATTCATATTCAGTCCCTCAAAGGCCAGCTAATATATTTTTTAAATAATAATTGTAAGATTTGGTCAGTGATTAACGATTACCGGATTTACATTTGGAAAATGACACTGTACTATATTACCACAAACAACTACCCTAATTAATCATAATAAATGATTACGACAAAAAATCACAAAAAAACATTTAAAGATTTTTTTGGAAATTTGTTCTATTGGATAAGACATCCACATCTTTCTTACATCATTAATAATTAAGTATATCAGAATGGAAAAAAAACAACTAATAGTAATAATTGGAAAAATAATGAATGTAAGTGCAATAAAAATATTGTTTGAAACTTTGAATCCAGACAACATAATCGGTTTGTCAAAAGTTTACTGAAATCTTAAACCCATCAAGTTACATGACTCACATGTTTAATTTTTTAAATGATCTAGATTTTGGACTAAATAAAAAAATTGTTTTGATGTTTGATTGTTTGGTAAGAAATAGAAGAAAAAGCAAAACGAGAGAAATGTGAGCTAAGAAGAGGAGGCCATGACAGAAAAAAACACAGAGTATCATATAATTTACCAAACACGTCTTTGTGATCTGATATTCATCACTACCTAATCTTTTGTTGACCACAAATTTTGATATATCTGCATTGTTCATAACATTGATAAAGTCTTCAGTTTCCTCCTCGTTTCTCACATGTACAATGGTCCCATCGTCATTATATATTTTATTCTCTAATCCTTATTATAACATAAACATTACTCTGTTAAAATCTCAAAATCATCATTCATCGAATAAGAACAAGAACAAAAAAGGGTAATCCTTAAAAATAAATGTCGGGTTATTGGGCCCAAATTGAAGACCCAAAGTATCTAGCTTGGGTTTCTGAAGGAGGTAATTATAGTTTGATTAAAAGCCCACGAAGGACGTCGGAGCGTGAGGGTCACTCTCGTTAGGAAGCGCGTTAGAAAAGCAAGCACGAGAGGCAACTCCACTCGGCCGTGGTTATTCTCCGATTAGGTATTCGATACTCTCTCGTCTCTGGAGCGACCAAACCCCTAATTTTCTTCAGTCGAAATTATCAGATTTCAAATGGGTGAACATTCACCTTCTCAACCATCGTCACATACTCAAACCCAAAATCAACCGCAATCGCCCAAACCCGAAAACCCTAATCCAATTCCACCGGAAACCAATGATAATGATTCAGCCTCGTCCGCCGGAGCTCCTGGCTCAATCGTCTCATCAACCACCATCGAAGCACCACGGGTCACAGAATTAGGCAATGTATCGTCTACGCCTTCCAAAATCCCACTCCGTCCTCGAAAAATCCGGAAGCTTTCACCCGACGAAGACGATTCCGGGGCCGTAAACGCTAACAGCGACGGATTCAATCCGGATCATAGCCCTTCCCAGATGATGACGCCGCTCGCGACGGCTGCAAAACCTGCCTCCAAGGGTAAATTGACACAGTCACGCGCTCTAACCGTACCAAGGATCCACGCGAGGTCTCTCACCTGCGAGGGCGAGCTCGAAGCAGCGATTTGCCATCTCCGGAGTGTTGATCCTCTGCTCGGATCGTTAATTGATATCCACCCACCACCGACGTACGAGTCATTCCACTCTCCGTTCTTGGCGCTGATTCGAAGCATCCTTTATCAGCAACTAGCGGCCAAGGCAGGGAATTCAATCTACACACGCTTCGTTGCCCTATGCGGCGGTGAAAACGCCGTCGTCCCAGAGACGGTCCTGCCTTTAACCCCTCAACAGCTCCGTCAAATCGGCGTTTCGGGCCGGAAAGCGAGCTACCTTAACGATCTCGCTAGGAAGTATCAAAACGGGATATTGTCGGATTCTGGAATCGTGAACATGGATGAGAAGTCTTTGTTCACGATGCTAACAATGGTGAATGGGATTGGCTCGTGGTCAGTTCATATGTTCATGATAAACTCTCTTCATAGACCCGATGTGTTGCCAGTTAACGATCTCGGTGTAAGGAAAGGTGTGCAGATGCTCTATAACTTACCGGAATTGCCTCGTCCATCGCAAATGGAGCAGCTTTGTGAGAAATGGCGTCCGTACAGGTCAGTAGGGTCGTGGTACATGTGGCGGCTCATTGAAGCTAAAAGTACACCGTCGAATGCTGCGTCCGTTACTGCAGGAGCTGCTCTTTCGTTTCCACAGTTGGAAGACATTCAACAGCAACAACAACAACAGCAGCATCAGCAACAACAATCACAGCTTCTGGACCCACTTAATAGTGTGTTCAGTATCGGGTATACTCAGTTACTTTATCGAACTTTGTTTCTAAGTGGTTAATGTGCAATACTTGTCCCTGCTTTTACTTTGTTTCATTTTTGCCTTTTAGTATAGATATAATAGAGAGCATTGAAGTGATTGCCTTATTCTTATTACTTGCTGAAAGTAAGCGCTAACGTGTTTAGTTCTTGTGTCTAAAGTTAATCTTAGTGCTTCTTCGCATTTTACTTTCACTTTGGATGCAACGTCAAGGGGATTGTGGATGCTCTGCTTATGGTTTAGATAGATTTTAAATTAATTGAAGCATATAGAACACTTGTATCGAGCTTACAAGTCACCTGAGAAGGTACCATCGTTTTGTGGACCTTAGGATTTTCAAAAATAGCTTCTATGCAAGCAGTGGGTATGAGGCCGTTCTTCATGGTTGGGTCGGCCTAATGTGCTTATGGGATTAATTAATAGATTTCTCGTGTTGCGTCCTTTGCTTATCACCATTTATTGTGTTTCTACGTAATCACATTCATGGCAGTGAGTGCCTTCACTAAAACACGATGAGCTCGAAGAAAATGGTACTCTAGGACTTCTAATATTCTTCACCTACTTTCGGTACTAATGTTTCACACTTCTTTGAAAAAGCTTGAGTATAGAGGATTTTGTTTACAGTGGGTTTGTAACATGATTACTGAAGCTTTTCTTCGAGTCACTATTCTTTGCAATGCTGAATGCTTGATTTGTGTATTAAGGACTAGTTACAATAACAAGGAAGTTGTTAATACATAACACATTAGTCTTCTTATGTGGTTCCTATTGTCTTCTTAACAGGGCATGGGGCCAAACGTAGCTGGCTTCGCACCATAAGATGTTTCATGGCGTTATAGAGATTCTTCTCCGGTCTTCAGCTACTGTCTGGTATAAAGTCAATTGTTCAGCAGCCAAAAATTAAGAATAAAGCAGGAACTTTTGTAGGTTGGGTTCCTCAAGCCAAAAAAAAAAAACTGAAATACCATGGAACAGAAAACTTCTTAGCTGAGTGAAGAGTATGTAAGAATTAGTTTAGGTAATGATCTTTTTATTTATTTTCAATTGTTAAAGACTTGAACTCTTTTCTAAAGAAACCTCGACAGCTTTTCGTAATTCATCTAAAACAGGCTCCACGTCCTTATTTTCACATCTCTAATAGAGAAAAACTATTGGTTTTTGCTGATGGTGAGAAGTCGCAAGAAACTCATAAACAAACTCAGTTACAGAGGAGGTCATGTCCTTGTTGTGTTGAGTTGTCAAAAACAGTAACAAATTGTTCTCTCAGGGAGGAAAAAGAACTGATACATCAGTTTTGGGATCTTCTATTATCAGTTTGAAGACAACATAGTAGATGAAAACTACTGTTTGGTTTCTTTCCTCTGTCAACTGTAACAAAAAGACAGCAGATTCCTCTTTCTCATCCACACAATCACGTACTGTGCTTAGTAAGCAGAGAGTTGTGTAAGAAAGTGAAGCATGGGAGAGTGAGGAGACTTGAGAGGCAAACAAAACTCATCAGTTTTGTAGAAAACAACAAAGCAAGGGTTCTGAAACAGTGAAGTAAGAGTCGTTCTGGTTTTGGCTACAAAACAATCTGCAACACAAAACCCTTGTAAGTTTCGTTTTTCAGAAAGAATAGAGAGCTGATAGGGACAAGTCACTGCCTTCCTTTTCATTCATTTCATTCCAGCTAACTTTTTCATTCAGATCCAATGGTTGCATAAGAAATGAGTCTCTAATGAACTTGAAAAAATCCTGAAATCGCCCATTGTAAGGTTTGTTACTACATTTTACAACTCTTTACAAGGCATATAATTAACCAAAGATTGGTTTAGATGAACCGGATAGAAAAATTGAATACTTTACTGAAACCAAGCTGGTGGTGGATTTCGAAATTCCAAATCCCAAAATGTCCCTACACCATAGAAGCTACACTTAGGTGTAAAAAATCATATGAATGAAAAATTTAAAAAAAAAAAAAACATAAAAGAGAGAGAAAGAGAAGAAAAAAGGAAAAAGGGATTGCTTGCGGGGAAGCGTGGAGGGTGGCAGAGAGTAGAGAGAGATTCAGACATTGTTGGGTTCTACAGTTCTTACTACTTCAAACTGCTTTTTTGGTTTGATTCTCTGAGTGAATATAGACATTTCATATCTTCACAAGTTTCTCTCTTTCGTAATTCTTTCTTGCCTTTTCAGTAATCTTGCTTTATAAACTTCGATATTTATGAAATAAAACAAATTATCAACTGCTGAAAAAAAAAATTTAATTTTATGTCTCATTTCACATGTACTAAATCAATATAGTACCATTGTTGGCGTCAAATTTCGTTTTATTATTTTTATAGTTGTTAATATCTCTTATAAATGGACTTAGACTGTTGATCTTACTTAATACACCGATTACCTATACTCCTCTGAAGAAACAAAAAGACAAAAGATAGACTAATATCATAAATATACAAAAGAATTATTAAAGGGATCTGATGATAAGCTTGATAATATTATTAAAGCATGATATTTACATTTGACTTATAAATTATTCTAGTATGTTTATACACTGTTCAAATCGAATGCGCGCGTAAATCTAAGTGTTGTGTTGAATTTTGATGCTACATCATTTTGAGACATGATTATTCAATTTTTGTTTGGAGTAAGCTCGTCAGAGAACGTATGATGTTTCCAATATAATGAAAATGATAAAATCTCTAATAAGATTGGCAATATTGTTTTTATTAATTTAGGAACAGTTACACAGATTCCAGTCTAAAGTACAGGTTCTGCGATAGATAATCCAGAGTTTAAAACATTTTGAAATCTAAATATTTTAAAGACGATAAATAATAGTATTAAACTACTATAATATGAGAGATGGCTTGAGGCATTTTCTTAACCATCTCTTATGGATTTCTTGAGAAAATGATTCACAATTAAGCAGAAACCTAATATCAAGAATCTTGGTAAAACCAGGAACTAAACCTAATATCAAGAATCTTGGTAAAACCAGGAAGTTTACTTGCGAAAAAAATATTTGTTAAAAGATCAAATTAGTAGAGAAGTTGTTTGGGTTTAGTTCGATTCGTTTCTAAATTAAAGCCAAAATAAATTGTTAGAAAGAGAAATGAGGTCATAATGCTAAAGGGGACAAAACATGTTATGGTAGAGAAGTAATTATCGTGTGACAGGCTGTTCATGAAAAATTCTGCAGAAGCTATGACGATTACTTTTATTTTATTCTATCAAATCAATTAATTCTTACGACAATTTTTACATTATTTTTTTTGCAACCTCATTTAACATTTATCCACACGCATGGATTATTATATCATATGCTGTATTTTACATCTTCTGAAAGTGCAATGTATTATGTAGCCATTTAGAACAGGAAGAAGTAAATGAATGCATGTCTAATTAGGAATTATTAAATGAATGCATGCCTAATTGACACTTATAAAGTATTGTTATCTTAATTAACTTGGTCACGAAACGATTACCGCAAGATGACATGGTCCGCAAATATTGTTTCGGAGTATTTTTAATCTTGATGACTTATATGTTGTATTAAACTTGTAATCAGGTTGCACAAAAAGCTTGTAATTTATAAATTCAAAAGGGAAAAGTTCAAAAAAAAGAAGAAGAAGATAAATAGGTAAGATACGAAAACAAATAAAATAAAGGTAGAGTAAAAGAGGAAAGAAGAAAAGACATGAGTAAGGGTAAATGGTGTTTGGACAAATTAGGGTTTAAGGGTTTGAAAAATTAAGAGAGAGAGAGTAATAATGAAAGAGAGAGAATGGGCGGGGCCCATAATGTGGCAGGGCATGTGGCTGGGCTTCCAACTTGACCTTGTCGGTTGTTCTCTGCACTGCCCTTCTCTGCAACCCACACACTATAAAGCCTAATTTTCTCATTTTTCTTTTAATTAACCTCTCGCATAAGCGGTATGGTAATTATTGTGGTCTTAGACCATGAAAATTTTTGTTAACAAATACGAAGGTTGTTGGTGTACATAGTCTCAGTAATGTAATCTTAAATTCTTTTCTCTATAAACATTATTTTATGTTAAATCATAGCTAAGAAAACAGATATATTTGGCGACCAACAATGAGATATGTAGTAATTTCGTTGACTAGATAGTAAACCTAAAATTAAAATATATAAGTAACCTAAATAATTTTTTTACTAGTTTGCTTCGGAATTGGACTTATCCAACTATTATTTGAATGAGTTAGATATATAAAGTAAGACGAAAATATATCGATTACATGTGATTAGGCTTTAATTGTTTGTTGTGTTTATGTTTGCTGTTATATGTAATGGTTATTTATTTAAATTTCAAATTAATTTACATCGTTTTGCACTTTAAACGATTTTTAAAATTTTGTAAAACAACACACTTTACAAAGTTATTCTAAAATATTTCTGTTTAGATATACTTTTATATATAGAAATGTGAAACCATGTCTAGAAAATCACTGGTAAACATAAACAAAAAGTTCAAATTCGACTATAAAGCAATGAAGACCTTGTTGATATAAAAAAAAAAAAACAATGAAGACCTAATTAATCTAGTTAACCCAATTAGACTTAGCACGAAAAAAAAAACGTATACACCGACTGCATAAAAAGATTTCAGATAGATCAATTAAGAGCGTTTGGAATAGTTAACCACCTCAAACGCTCATAACTCTAGTAATGGTGACACAGCTAGAGCTAGGTGACGCACATAATGCAGCAGTTTTACGTAAACTTCAAAATTGTGTTATTTTTCACTGATTTAGAAAATTTATATGAGTAATATACGGAGACAAAAAAAAGAGGTATAAATGGTGAAAACAAAAAAAAACAAAGATTACGATGTAATGATCATCCGATTACCAAGGTACATATGATCCATTGGCACAAATTACAATGTTTTGAATTGATTATTAGGTGTAAGTGTTTATTTAATTGTTATAATCGGTTGACTATATAATTTTTTATTATGCTTAAATGGAATTAACTGGTGGAACATACATGCAACACTCTAAGCCCAGTTCGGATTAATTTTGCAACAAGAATAAACAGAAAATTGTAGTAAGAAATTAAATTTTGTATTTTCTCCAATTTTCAAATGTATTAAATTTTACAATATAAATAGATTAACGCGCTATTGACTTACTGTACACAGTAAAAATGAGCTCATAAAAACTTGAGACAGAATGTCAATAATTGCATCAGTTTCATGCGAGTGACAAATACTATGAAAATTTGAGCTTCAAGTTACTGTTGAATGATGATGTGTTTGAATTAATTGATCGACAATCAATTCATACAGAAAAACACAATTGGTATAACAATTTAACGAATATGCCTAGAGTTATAAGTTTGATAAAAGGGTCAGTAGCCTGATAATTTTATATGACATCCTTCCATAAGCTACCATTATTATAGGATAATTCAACCTAATGTAAAAGTTCTTTATTTTTGTGATACTAAATTTCCCAAATAACACCCTGTATTGTTTTATCCCTGTATTCAATTTAGAATATTTGAAATTCTGAATAAAGTATAAGTCCAAAAATACCTTCAAAAGCTGTATTGAAAAAAATAAGTACCTTAATAAGGATGATAAACATAATAGTATAATATATAGTAGGGTATGGTATTAGTCTCATCGCTCACAAAGGGGCTCTCGTCTCTTATCTCTTTCTCATGGCCTCACCACAAGCAACCAAACTGTCTCTTATAATCGGATCTCAAAGGTTGGCTTGTTGGGAGCACTGAGACATCAAACATGGTTTTTTCTCTCTTTCACTCTTAAAAACCAATTAACCCTAGAGAAACCCCTTTTACAGTATTAATCCCAAAAGTTCCTCTCACATCTCTCTCTCTATCTATCTATCTCTCTCCATTAAAACCATTCACAAGAAGCAAAAAGCTTTGAGCTTTTAATGAGTTTAAGGTCCTCTTCGGTTCCTCCTGCAAAAACTGGGTCTTTCCTCGTGTACTTGCTCTTATCTGTAAGTCTCTGAATCTATTCTCACTGCCTTTAATTTAATTTTTCGTCTTTCCTTATTAGTAATCTCATTAATATGTTCTTTTTCAGGCATAAAATTAAACAAACTCTACTCCAGTGTAAGCTTATCATCTGCTATATCACCAGATAAAGTCCAAAAATTTAACCTTTTTGTCGATCTATTTGATTGAAATTGCAATTTTAAGTGCAAGCAAAAAAAAAAATGGATATGAGAAGCCATGAAATGATGGAGAGAAGAAGAGATGACAATGGCAACAATGGTGCTGGTACCATCAACATCATTACTACAAATGATGATAATTGCAACGGTAATAACAACAACAACAACAACAAGGCTCTTGTCTCTTGCAACTCTCAAAACCTAGATCACCACCACCACCAATCCAAGTCTCCCTCTCCATTTTCCATGTCTAAATCCACCGTACGGTACCGGGAGTGTCTCAAGAACCACGCGGCCAACGTCGGAGGAAGCGTACACGACGGATGCGGCGAGTTTATGCCGAGTGGTGAAGAAGGAACAATCGAAGCTCTCAGATGCGCTGCTTGTGACTGCCACCGTAATTTCCACCGGAAAGAAATCGACGGTGTTGGAAGCTCTGATGTAATCTCTCACCACCACCACCGTCACCACCACCAGTACGGCGGAGGAGGAGGGAGAAGACCGCCGCCGCCGAACATGATGCTTAATCCACTCATGCTTCCTCCGCCGCCGAATTACGCTCCGATGCACCACCACAAGTACGGGATGAGTCCTCCTGGCGGTGGAGGAGGAATGGTGACGCCGATGAGCGTCGCATACGGCGGAGGAAGCGGAGGAGGAGGAGCGGAGTCGTCGAGTGAAGATCTGAATCTGTACGGACAGTCGAGTGGCGAGCATGGAGGAGGAGGAGGAGCGGCGGGGCAAATGGCGTATTCGATGTCGTCGTCGAAGAAAAGGTTCAGGACGAAATTCACGACGGAGCAGAAGGAGAGGATGATGGAGTTCGCGGAGAAGCTAGGATGGAGGATGAACAAGCAAGACGAAGAAGAGCTCAAGAGATTCTGTGGTGAGATCGGAGTCAAAAGACAAGTCTTTAAAGTCTGGATGCATAACAACAAGAACAATGCCAAGAAATCACCAGCAGCAACTACAACAACAACAACAGGAGGAACTCTCTAATAATGATCAGCTACTTTTAATTGAGAGATTATGTTCTAGATTTTCTTTTTAATCTATTTTGTTGTTGTTTTTTTTTTTTCTTTAATGTTTTTTTTCTAGGTTTTTGTAGCTTGTACGATCTTTGGATCAATCAATGGATGTTTTGTTTGCGTAGTTAATGTTATTTTTAATTTGGTTTTGCTTCTTTTCTTTTTTGTGTTTTGTCTTTTACCCAGATCGTACTTGTAAGTTGTAATCAGTTTCTTTTACTTATTAGTTTATGCTTCTGTCTTTTTTTACGTTTAAGCTTAACACTTAACAATTTTGTCTTGTAAAAAAGTACAATCTTAGATAGCCAAATACGACAATCTAAGTAATGCTAGTTTAATACCATTCTTACAAAAGAAACAAAAATCGCGAGACCTAAACGTGTCAAACTGCAAACATTCTAAATTCGTGTGTTTTTTTTTAAGAAATTTAAAGACTTTTATTTAACTATCATGATCATTTAATTTGGTGTTAAAAAACCAAAATAAACAGATGTCAACATGAATTAGCTTAATTATCTATATCAAGATTTAAGTTTTTGCTACGAATAACAATGATCTAATGCAAAACTTTAAATATAGGATAAAATTATGCATACGCAAGCGTTATGATCAAAGTTGAACTTTTTTTATATGTGTTGATGTGAAATATGTCCAAAATTGTAACCATATGATTTGAGTCTACTGTAGATCTGTCACCTACCTCATTTGTACCAAAAAGAAAAACACGAGAACAAAAAAAATAAAAAACAAAAAAGAGAAGATTCTTACTGTTATATATTTCACAGATGAGGCCAAAATTATATAACACACGACATATGTATCCTTCTTCTTTTTTTCTGTGTCGTCACGACCTATGTATCTACGCTACCATATGTAATAATTGGTTATAAATAATATTTATATATTCTTTTGCGACCGTTTTATGTGGGAAACTGTTGTCAATTATTAATTTCATAAAAATATCTCTTTCGTCGAAGTTATGTTTCTTCTTCCTTTCAGAAAAAGAAAGTGGGCCAAAAGAATTATACATAAAAAGCTTCACGTATCAAAGTCCAAGTTCTGTAAAATACACAAGTAACTTGATCCTTATTCTTCAGTATGTCACAGTCACAACGTCGTTTCATATTTTAGTCGACCAACAACTTATTCGCCCCAGAAATGGGCCGGTTCAACGGATTAAGGCCTCACTTATGTAGAACAAATAGCCCATTGTACGCTGATACCAAACACAATCATGTATTAGACATTAATGAAATGACAAATTAACAATGTACAGTATTATGATTCTGTGAATGTTACCGACAAAATGATTTCGGGTATTGTTGGAGTATTTTAAGCTCATGTTCTTATTTTTGTCAACTTCTTCAGATACCTGTTTATTTGATTTTTGTTGTTTAATGGTCTGATTTGCGTCTAGCATCTAATTCATAACTCCATAACTAATCTAAACGACAATTATAGGAGATTAATTCTCACAAATCTATAAATACGATTCGTGATCTTTATAAAATATGTTGGGACATTACAGAGAGAAGTAAGTTGTGCGACTGTTAACTTTCTTTTGCGACTGTTAACTATATTCTATTTAAAAATTGGCTTTCGAGTGAAGAAAAAAGAAGAAGACAAGAAACGAAGAGATTTTTGAACGAAATCTCAAATTCTGATGGATGTAAAGTGTAACATACGCCCTCATCCATTAAAAACTAAGTCAAATTTTTTTCTTTTTTGGGTTCCTTTTTGGTTATTTAGTTAATTACACCATCTATCTATGATTCTATATTGAGCTAATTGATTCTTTATATACTCACGAAATTAATAATTATGTATCGGTGACAGAAAAGTTTGGAGGAGACAGCAAAATAAATAGATAAACTAATTTTTTTTATTGGATGTCCCCGAATAAACAGACCTTAATTAATCGCTTTATCAATGATCAAGTCGCAAAACGGGAGAGGCATCAGTCTATTATTTTCTTCGGATTACAGTTGAATTAAATAGATTAATCCTGAATTTTTTTTAAGTAATGATTATGAAAATAGATATTGCTTAATTAAGCCAATTCCCATATACTCGCTGTTTTCTTCTTTCGGCACCCTTTTTAAATAAATCACTCGTCCCCATTTGCTAAAATAGGAAAACACAATATTCTTGTCGGCTTTTGAAGGTTATATTTTTTTATATATACGGATTGGTATTTTCTCTCTAGTTGATTAATGATTATCAGTTAGTTATGAGGGTTTGTTATTTTCTCTCTAGTTGATTATCAATTAATTTAAATAGAACGCAGAGACAGATATGAAAGCGAACGACCAATTCAAACATATTTAGATTTAGTAGACAGAAGAATCACATATCCTTCTGAATCTTTACAATAACATGATGGACTTCGTTAGATCTTCAAATTCTTCATTAGCCTGTCAAAGAATATCAATATGTAGTATCAATAAGAGCATGTTTGATCTAATTATACAAGCATGTTGATTAGATTCCAAGCACATATTTAATTAACAACTTGGAGATATTGTTAATTAAAGGTTTCCAAACTCGAGTTTTGCTTAACAACTTGTAATATTAATAATTAAACACGATGTCGACCACCGACCATGGACAGAAGTAGAAATAACCAATTTATCTATTTATGTACATCTTATCATGATTCATGATATAATGTTATGAGCCTCAAGAATAAAGACAATTTGCATGTGCATCAAGTATAAGAAAAGATTAAAAATGTGAACAGTTCCCTTTTGTGTGCTAATTGGTGTGTTTCGCACTATCCTATATCTGAACCTGACTGTTTTATACGCAAAAAAAAATGATGCATTTACATTTAAACAAAATTCAGACTGTATAAGTTTTCTTATGATTATGCAAAATTTCGGTTTAAATTATATGCGCAAGCAATGTGTTTTTCTTTTCGTTTACGTTTATGATTTTGAAAAAGACATATATGTCTAAACACACTATTTAACATGTAAACGCAATCCCAAAATGAAACAATAAAATCTTTAATCCAACGTTCATAATCAAGTTATAGTACACGAAACATATCAATTTCTGGTCGAACGCAACATAGAGCATGCATTGAGCATGTTAAAATGAAATAAGAGATTCAGTTATATAATAAGATACCTCGTGTTGAAGTCATTGATGGCTCTTGAGTTAGATTCGAAGGTCTTGTAATTGGGCAAAGGGACACGACCAGTCTCGATGCTAATGAGATCTTCGACGAGAATGTCATAGTGACGCTTCACTTCCTCTGCAGATTTCCCTCCGACAGCGTTTGCCACATTGTGCCATCGGTCCGGTGTGTCCTTGTCGTAAACTGCCAAGGCTCTCTCGAACATCTTGTTCTGCTTAAACGTCCATGACGAGCTCGAGCTTCTAGAGTTTGACGCCATTAATGTGAAAACTTGAGATGGAGAGAGAGAAATAGAGTGGGTGATGAAATTAAAGTGCTATAAAATGATAACAAGGAAGGGTTCCTTATAAGGAGGAGAAAAGAGAGTTCCTAGATTCTGCAAGTTGGAGAGTTTTCCACTTTTTTATTTAATATTAATATTTTTTCATGTTTCATTAACCAAATTTATGTAAAAGACAGACAATTTGTGACAGATTAACGTAATCATATGGTGTAATATTCAGTGCTCTATTGTTTTGGGAGATAACTCAAGCATGTTAAAGATAGCTTACCTTGATGTTTTTAAGTGTTCAAGAATGATACTGTAAAAAATAAAGCAAAAATGACCCATTAGTAATTACTACGAAGTATTAAGTTATATATTGTAGCCGTATAATTCGTATGTTCGTCGTCTACGCATGTATATAAATTGATCAATTTTTTTTATATAAAAAAAACCAAAAATCTAATTACAATGAACAATTAGGATAATCTTAAGCGAAACTTCTGAACCGAATGAATGATCATATCGAGAACCGGTTCAAAACGTAGGGCTGAAGTTGGTAATTAATTAAGTTGAACAACTTGGCCTAATGTGCTTACAGACAGATGATTATCACAATGGTATAATATACGTGCCACTACTTATTTTCGTTTACTATATATTTCACAGTTTTCGATATCATAATTTAAGCCATTATGATACTTTGTGTGGTGATTGATCAAATTAACAAAGTATTAGTAGACATAGTGGATATCCATGGCATTATTGGAATGAAAAGGTTTTGATGTAGAGACGACTGGCCCGTCATAAAAAAATGGTAAGATATTCCAATATTTATATTCTGTAAAGTTTTATACGTAAATAGTGATAATCTATTATTAATTTGAGCATTGTTTCTTGCAATTTCTGTGGGGAAATCTAATTGATATAAGTAGCGTACATTTACCATTATAGATATCAAATATATTATTTAACATCCGTTGCATAGATATCTAGATATTATAAGATGCTTGTCGTTTGATATGATAGTTTTAGGTTATATTCTCAGCATCAATTAATAATGAGATAAGTGCGTAAATGCTTAAATCGAACAAATAAAGTCCGTGGATCATTTTTCTCTAAAAGTTATTTTCATTTACAATTTTCACAAATTCAAAATGATAGATAAATTTATTCTCCGGGACCTTGAATCTAATGGCTTTATTTATGTGTGAAGTAGTGGAAGAGACCAGTGGCGGATGACAAGCATTTTTATAAGAACCACCAAAAATTTGATGCAAAAGAATAAGGACATAACAGAGAAAATTAAAAGAGAATAATAAGGACAAATTAAAAGAGAATAATAAGGACATAAGGGATATTATCATTTCCTTTTGTGATAAAATTCTTATATCCAAATCTAATCTATTTTCTGTTCTAAATACTTCATGTCTAATGAAAACGACGAAAAAGTTGTCTAATTTCATTGGTAGTTCATTACATTACATAGTTCATTCGGTCGAAGTCTTTTACAAGGAGAATATTGGTATTTTGTAGATTCGAGTCACATTTAAAACAAAATGCAAAAACACTAGTATTTGATTAGGAGAAAGAAATGCGAATGTTCTTGGTTTATCAGAAACACTATTTGGATTCATGGTCTATGTGAAATACAAGACATATTAGGGGTCTAAATAACTATGATGAATTAGTGGAATAAATATAAAATGGAATGAAGAAGAAAATTGACCAACAAAAGAAAAAGAATGAAGATGAATTGAATGAACATGATATAAAAAATAATTTTGGTCCATTCATTTTTCTTAAATATAGTCAAGATTTTTTTTAAAAAAAATTGTTCATAATTCAGTTTTCTTAGAGAAGTAGTGAATTTTTGTTTTCTTTTTTTTTATATATATATATAAAAGAACATTTGACTACACCTAAAATTAAAACATAACTGGCTTCAAGGCTTGGATCGTTTTGGTATACGCTCAAGTTTTGTTTTCCCCCAGTAATATTGATTATACGAACACATTTACAGCATCACCAATGTGGACCAACAAATGTTTACTATCGAAAAAAACAAAATTCTTATTACAAGCTTTGCGGACATAAAGTCGGCTTTAACATTACTACAACGAGATTTAGAAGCAATGGTAAAGAGATTGTTCGTCCTCTCAAAACCCGTCAGCTCAAGAGCAAAAGCCGATCAGTCCTCCGGATGCGGATGCGTAACGATAAGTCGATAAGAACTAGATCTATTGAATCCGGCTGTCACAAAATAGACATAATTAAAAACAATTCATTGCCTAAAATTTTGGCAAACATTACGGAGTTTGTAGCTTTAAAATTCCCTTTTTTTTCCAACGCTTTGAAGATGCAAATATACAGAGGAATAAATCCCAAACTTATATTCTATTTTTGCCCCCATGTCTGATATTTTCTGCTAGGCTTAGGGTTTTGATGGGGTTTTTATTTGACCAGTCGTCTCTGTTAAAGCTTAAGAACCTTAACCTAGTTACCGTTTATCATAATTATCTTCAAATTGGCCCAACATTTCGCAACGACAGAATCGATTTATTACTTGAAGTCTTGAACAATTATTTTTTAAAGAGTTTTGACAAAGATTAATTAATATGTTAATATTTCTTATCCATTAATTAAACTGTAGCGTTGTTCTGCAATTGCATGTTCATTGTTTTAAAACAACTGCTTTAAGAAGACTCTGTTCTTATAAAAATAAATCAAAGTTGTATTCACATTTCAAGTTTTCCGGTTGTTCTTTGCTTCTTGGTAAAGCTCTCCGTTAACCTAAGGAGCAAAAGCATCAATTAAACAGAGATTCGAAAGATAACTTCACTGGAGAAAACGACCACTTTTCTTTTCCCTGCCTCAAAAGTTATCTTTTCCTCTTCACACATATACATACAAACTTACACAATCAATTAAGACGATGAACCAAACATTATCTTTACTGTTTACCATTTACCCATTTTGACATCCCTTTGGCCCATATCATCATGCCTCCTTTCCGTTTTAACATTCCTTTCTTCTCCTACGGCTCTCCTTCTCGTCTCTCTTCAAGGGCTTCTTCACCGTCACCACCACCTACGCCTCCTCCGTCACGCCCTCCTTTTCGTCCTGCAGGCATCGCTAAGCCGTCAAAGCCAGCCACGTCGTCAGAAACCAAGTCCAAGACGCCTTCGTCACTTCCTAGGGCTAGAAGCAATGTTGCGGCCATTGCAGCTTCTTCGTCTGCGCCAACTCGGCTGGCGAAACAGAGTAACCAATCTGGTTCTCCTGTAAAGGAGTCTCTGAGGGCTGAGGAGAAAAAGGAGGCGATGAAAGATAAGCCATCGAGAGTAAGTGAAAAAGAAAGTGGCGAGAATATCCATCCGGTAACAGAGAAACCTCTGACTGCTCGTTCAAAACAAAAAGAAGCAGAAGAAGAAGCTCAGAAACAGAGGAAAATTACTGAGGTAGATAAACTTGCGGTGGTAGAAAGGAATTCAAAAACAGCTCAGGAACAACAGAAGCAACAAGAAATAGAGAAACTTGCGGTGGAAGAAAATAAGAAAGTTCTTGGCAAGGACATGGAAGAGAATTTAAAAACAGCTAGAGAACAGCATAAGAGAAAAGAATCCGAGAAACTTGCGGCGGAAGAAAGAAATAGAGCTCTTCAGACAGTGCGTAATGAAGATGCAACGCGAAGCAAAACCACACGACATATTGCCGCAGCATCAGACTCATCGAGAGGGCCGAGAGATCTGCCGGAGAGAAGGACGCAGAACAGAACAGATTTTCACAACGATGACAACCGTCAGAGAACCAAAGACATGTCGACGGGTAATCATGAGTTTCCGAGAGATGGGAACAGAGAGAGGTCATCTTCAATGAGCAGACGGATCAAAGAAGACATCAGAGATGGAATAAGTAAGCTTACTTGGGGAAAAAGCAACGGCGATGAGAAATCGGTGAGCGTCTTTACTCTTACTGGCGAAAACAGAGGAGCAACAATGGCAATACATTCTGAAAAAGACAAGAAAGATGGAGAGGTTCATATTCACCGTGGATACAGAAGTAACCCGGAGGAGAGTCCTAACACCACATCCACGGACACCGAAGGAGGAAGAAGACCCTTCGACGGCAAAAACGAAGACGAAGAAGCGAAGCTTAGGGCATACGTAAACGGTAATACTCAGGCGATCAACAATTCGATTGTGTGCGATAGTTCAGTGCAAGAGAACGATCCAGGAATTCATATGAGTTTGAAATTTGAAGAATCGAAGAAGAAGAAGAAGGATGAAACTATTAGTCCACCAGAGAATAAATCGGAGGCTGTGAGTGTGACGGCGAAGGAGACGGAGAAGTTGAAGCATGAGCCGAGGGTGAGAAGGAGATGCTTGAGAGGGTTACTTGCAGAGACGAGTGAGTCGGAGCCGGAGAATCCCTTGAAGCCCCGGAGACATGGTTGCAGGTTTACCTGTAAAGACAAAGATAAAGACAACACTTGATTATGTGAAAACTATGTCAATGCTCGATTTGATCAGTTTCTCCTTTCTGTTGATCCTTCATGTACTATTCTACAAATGTTGGTGTTTGTTCAGTGCGCATCACAGAATGTTTTTAAAATATATTTTAATCTTATTAGGTGGTTTCTTACTTAAATAGTTAAATGCCTCTTATTTATTGATTTCTTACTTTTAAGAAACTTCTGTCATCTAGAAGCTTTGACCACCAAAATTATGGAATTTTCTCGCAATGCTTTTTGAATTTTGGTAATTTCTATTATTTAACTAGTTTTATCGAAAAGGATGATTGAATTAAGCGAAATACTGCATATAGAATGAAAATTCAATCGTAATGCTCTTTTTTTTCTTTTCTGAATTGGTGTTCTAGAAAAGAGTAACTTCAATTTGCTAAAAAAAAAAATTATCAAAAAGGGATAATTGAATAAGAAGCTAAATACTGTATGTACAAAAATTAGAAAAGAAGATCAACAACGCACGGCGTGACGTTTGATTCGGACCAGAAACTTTAACAGTAAAAATTAAAAAAACACTAAAACATGACTCATCAGACAAAGGATATTTCCGTAATTTCATCTTCGAGCTCAAGCGCAGCGTCCTATATATAAATTATATACATCTGCCGGCCTAGAAAGGGAGTAATATAATTCAAAAACTCTTTACCAAAACAAGACAGCACAACACAAAATCCAAATCGGAAGATAAAAGACAAAAATGGCGACGGAGAAAAGCAAGATTCTGGTGATCGGAGGAACTGGTTACATCGGAAAGTTCATCATCGAAGGCAGCGCCAAATCCGGCCATGAAACATTCGCTCTTGTCCGAGAAGCCTCCCTCTCCGATCCCGTCAAGGCCAAAACTGTCCAGAATTTCAAAGATCTCGGTGTCACAATACTCTACGTACGCGATTCTTCTCTCTCTATATATGTGTATTTCTCTATGAAATTAGCAGATTTTTGATATATATGATCAAAATTTTTCACAGGGAGATTTAAGTGATAAAGAGAGCTTAGTGAAGGCGATTCAACAAGTTGATGTCGTGATCTCCACCGTTGGTCTCTCTCAACTTCTCAATCAGATTAACATCATTTCTGCTATTAAAGAATCTGGCAAGCATGTCAAGGTTCTGTCTTATTTCGTCCAATACTTAAGAAAACAGTTTTTTTTTTTTTTTTTTGTGGGTTTACTTGAAAGTTGTTTGATTTCGACTTGTAGAGATTCTTACCTTCTGAGTTTGGCAACGACGTGGATCGAACATTGGCTATTGGAGCAGCAAAGTCAGAGTTCGAAATGAAGGCTGAGATCCGCCGTGCCGTTGAAGCCGAAGGTGTACCGTACACATACGTGACCAGCAATTGCTTTGATGGCTATTTCTTAGCTACACTTGCTCAATGTGAAACGAGACTTACTTCTCCTCCTAGAGATAAAGTCATCATCTATGGCGATGGCAACGCCAAAGGTACTTATTAAAGAATGCAAATAACTGATCTTTTAACATATTAAATCCTCTGATTGGAAAGAGAAAAACGATATTTTTTTCTGATTTGGTGAAATTAATGCAGCGGTTCTAAACAAAGAAGAAGACATTGTTGCATACATTATGAGGGCCGTTGATGACCCGAGGACTCTCAACAAGACTATCTACATCAACCCTCCAAAGAACATTGTTTCGCAGAACGACATTGTTGCCTTGTGGGAGAGCAAGATTGGTAAAACTCTGGAGAAGACTTACGTTTCAGAGGAGGAACTTCTGAAGAAAATCGCAGGTGAGAGAGCTACTACTTTCACACTCTTTTATACAATGCATGATAACTCTTATGGACAATCAAGATCATGTGTTGACTAATACTTGAAATGGTGCAGAGTCTCCGCATCCACTCGATCTTCTGTTGGCATTGAATCATGCTATCTTTGTGAAGGGAGATCAAACCTGGTTTACAATAGAGCCTTCCTTTGGAGTGGAAGCTTCTCAGCTTTATCCTGATGTCAAGTACACTAGCGTCGATGAGTATCTCAACCAGTTTGTCTGAGAAAAGATAGTAAAAGTCTCCTTGCATTGTAGCAAGAGTTTACTGTAATGAGAGAGATTGATGACCCTTGGTCTGTAATACCAAATCCAATAAGACATAAATATTACTTAAAAGGCTAAGATGGTTTTATTATTGCTAGGAGATAACCAAAGTATTCACAAAAACAAGAACAGGCGAGTATTTGCGCATTTCATTATTTGGCGAATAATAATAGTACTTCTAAGCAACATAAGCATTGGATCCACATCACTTATTCACCTTAGATGCCCAACCCGCGACTACAAACTCTTTCTTAGCCTTGGTTTTCTCGAACGACTCTCTATTGAACAAAGCCTTGGCGTAGTTACGAACACTGGTCAAGCTCTCAGGGGCAGACCAGTTCTTGTAATGACCAAGAGCAACCATCAGATGGTAAAGCTTTGGTGCTAAACTGAGATCCACTGCAGTAACACTTTCTCCAGCTACGAACGGACCAGGATGTGTCTTGAGGTGATTCTCCAGCGCTTCCAACGCATCAACCAGAGCCTTCTCGGATCCGTCGTTGGCGTCTTTGCTCGTCAAGAAAGTCACAAAAGCACCAAAGATTTTGGATCCCACAGAAGAAAATTCAGGAGGAGTCTTGAGAGAAGGCTCTGGATATTTCTCCTCAAGAAGTCCGACGATGACGTCAGAATCAGCAACCCATTTGCCGTCAAGCTTCACCACCGGAACTTTACCTTCCGGGCTAATGTCTAGGAACCTATAAAACACAAAAAGTCATCTAATTTACAGCCCACAAATTTACACAGGATACAGAAGCTTGTGCCCATAAATCAATAGAAAAAGTCTTAATTTCTTTGATTAAAAAAAGATCAACTTTCGGTTTTGGGATCAGTCGATATGCTAATCAAACTCGTCGATCAAAATTCACTGGGTTCGCAAAAGCTTACCATTGGGGTTTGTCGGAGACGCTAATCAGATGGGTCTTGTAGGGAAGCTTCTTCTCCTCGAGGGTCAGAAGAACCCGTTGGCTGAACGGGCCTGGAAAAGTTAAGATTTCATCGGATCAATTCACACGCCATTTCGATCACATTCTCAAAACCCTAATTTGTGAAATCAAAGCTTGATGCAAACAAAATAACACACAAAACAAAGATCGATGATCGGAGAGAGAGGGAGAAAGACATACAGTCGCCGAGAACATCAGGAGCACCGACGGCAACCTTGACGCAGATATCGAGAGCCATTGATCTTCGGATTTCCAGAAAAGTTTCGCACTGAATCAAAATAATCAAAGAAAAGATTCTCTGTTCGTGAATTTGTAACGCAAATATGGAATTATATCTTTCAAAACTTATGACTGATCTAATAATAATTCTTAGAAAAAAAATGTGACGTCACTAGTGAAGTGTTATTAAAAAAAATGTCACTAGTGAAAAGTTTCAAGAGTCTAGAACCTTCCCTAAATTGGTTGCACATTTACAGTTAAACAAGTAAAAGCATTTTTAGGATTCACATTTTAAATTGATAGGCCCATTAAAGCCCAGTAGAGTTTCTAATGGACTTTGCGAGTTTTTTCGCTTGGCTTTGTGTTTAGTTAACGTTCCGGTCTAAAGACCGCCACCGTCTCGTCTCCTCCTCCGTCACGCCACGGTGTTTCTTCCGCACAGCTTCGTCGAATTCGGAGTCCTCTCATTCTGTTTCCATATTGGTTTCTCCAAAAATGAGCGCGACGCAGGGACCACACTCGCTCGCCTTCAGGGTGATGCGACTGTGCAAACCGTCTTTCCACGTCGATCCTCCCCTCCGTATTGACCCTTTCGATCTTCTCGCCGGCGAGGATTTCTCCGACGATCCCACATCCGCCTCCTTGTTCCGACGCCACGTGTCTTCTGCCGACGCCGTCGACTCCGATCTCAGTTACCGCAACAGATTCCTCATTAACCATCCTACCGATCCCATCGGTCTCTCTGGTCTTCTCCTTCTTCCTCAGTCCTTCGGGTTCTCCCTCTCTCTCTATCTCTGTCATTTCTACTTTCCCGATTGATTACAGTCGATATCAGCAGTTTGATTCGGATTTGTTGCCCAGAGCGATCTATCTCGGAGAAACATTCTGTAGCTACATTAGCGTCAATAATAGTTCCAGTTCCGAAGTTCGTGATGTTACAATCAAGGTTCGTTACCTGCATTTCTATGATGGATTTTTCTATTTGTACATGTATTTCACCTGCTTCGTGTTGGACCATGGACCTTGGATTGCAAATGAGAAAACCAAAGGGATGATCATATCTTGTTGTAGGCAGAAATTCAGACGGAGAGGCAGAGGATTCTACTTCTGGATACATCCAAGTCACCTGTTGAATCGATACGGACAGGGGGACGCTACGACTTCATTGTGGAACATGATGTTAAAGAGCTTGGAGCTCACACGTGGGTTTACCTTTTCACTTTCTTATGTATCTCTTGGTTCATTTCCAATTGCTCCTTGGCCATGACCGCAAATTTCTCTGTTTAGGTTGGTTTGCTCTGCATTGTACAATGATGCTGATGGCGAGCGCAAATATCTTCCCCAGTTTTTCAAGTTTGTCGTCGCAAACCCACTCTCAGTGAGGACCAAGGTGACATACATATCAACATTTTGTTGTTTCCCACTTGTTTTAATCCTATTTCAAGGCTTGTCTAATTGTTGTGCCTTCTTATATGCAGGTTCGAGTTGTAAAGGTAGGCTCGAGAATGTTCATCCTGTGACTGCTTCCCTCAAGCTTCAGTTAATCTTAATGTATCTATTTGATTGTATTGGTTGTACAGTATAGATACGAACTCATGTGTTGTTCTTTTACACCAGGAGACTACGTTTCTAGAGGCTTGCATTGAGAACCATACGAAAGCAAACCTCTTTATGGACCAAGTTGATTTTGAACCTGCCAAGCAATGGAGTGCTGTGAGATTACAAAATGAAGACCACCATTCCACTGAAGTTACCCCAACCAGGTCTGTCAGATTCTCACAGAATCGTTATCATGGTTACTTATTACTCTAACAAATTGTCCTACTTTGCTCTGCGTGTCAGTGATATTGATGGACTGATACCTAATCCGCCTGTTATAATCCGATCTGGTGGAGGTATCCACAATTATCTCTATAAGTTAATCCCATCTGCAGATGTTTATGGGCAAACAAAACTCCAGGGAAGTAATATCCTGGGCAAATTTCAAATTACATGGCGCACGAATTTAGGAGAACCTGGTCGCTTACAAACACAACAAATTCTTGGCGCTGTAAGTTCTTTATCTTTACTATGTGAAAACAATGCATGAAATGTATTGGTTGCTAGCTGCTCTAAGTCTGAATGTGTTCCTCGGGGATTTGATATATTGTGGTTTTTTCTTGACACCGATGCACGTGAAATCATTTGCTTAATCCCAAAATTTTCATCTTTGTGGGAACAAATTAATGCATGACCACTCTTATCTTGGCAAGTGAGAACTTCTATACAATCATGTAAACGCACATTAATCAAATTCTATGTATGTCCTTGTACGCATCATCTGCATGCTCATGTTTCAGCTTCTTTCATCATCCAACAAACTTCCTTCATCGCAACCCCTTTTTCCTTTTCAGCCAGTCAGCCGCAAAGAGATTAATGTGCGAGTTGTTGAGGTTCCAACTGCTATACACTTAAATAAACCCTTCTCGGTAATACAACTGTTCCTTTCTCTAAGGTTTGTAATACCCAAAAGATTTGATTGAAAATATATTGGTTTTAGACTGAGCGTATAATGTTTTCCTTAGGCATACTTGAATCTTACAAACCAAACTGATAGGCCATTGGGACCCTTCGAGGTTTCACTGTCACAAGGTGAATCACAAATGGAGAAGCCGGTGGCCATTAACGGTCTTCAGAAACTGGTATAATTTCTAAAAATTAGATTTTTCCTATTGTGCCTGTTTATTGAATGCTTTTAGAAACTTCTGTAGTAGAAGGTCACTGTAAATCCATAGTTAGTGCTTTTGATCACGCACAACCATGTACGGTGGTAGAAGTCTGAATCACATTCACATATTGGCTGTGCAATGGGTGTGGAACCAAAACTTAACATGACTAGTTGAACTTAAGTGTTTTTGCTTCACCATTACATATATTTCTTTCTTTTTTTGTGGTTCGAGTAACTCACACCATTGAAACTCTTGCAGATGTTACCTGGGATTGAGGCATTTGGCTCTAATGATTTCCAATTGGTATGACAAAGTGACAACCTCCAAAATGATCTCAATTGGTATGACAAACTAACCCTGAATCTATGTTTATAGAATCTTATCGCCTCCAAACTCGGAGTCCAAAAAATCGCTGGGATCACAACCTTTGACACAAGAGAGAAGAAAACCTACGAACTTGTTGCAGAGATGGAGGTCAGTGTACCATCTTTTTCTCTCTCTCTCTTTAAGATCAACGACGCTTCAAATTAAAACGCATTGTAGTTGATTCAACATAATTTGATATTAATGTTGTTGGCATTTGTACTGCAGATATTTGTAGAGTCGGGCTAATCTTTTAGACAGCTACCGAGTGATGTTCTTCCTCCACAGGTCTTTTTTTTTTCGTTCAGGTTTTTCTTGATTAGTTGAAAAAAGATGTTATATATGATTTTGCGAACCATTTATTTTAACTCTTTGATTCAAAACTGTGTGTTGTCTGTAATTTGTAAAGCATGTTTTTTTTAATAAATAATTATCGAAGTCTTTACTTTAACAATATTGTCTGCTATGAAAATTATTTTACGTTCACCAACGTGTGTGTATACTATATAGAAAGACACACAAATATAAATCTCTTTTTTTTTTAGTTGGTTTTAAATATTTATTTGGGTTGTGTAATATTTATCCAGCTTTCTCCACATTAACTATATATGGACTCGTACGTCGGGTTTATTATTCATATCACAAATCCCATTAGTTGGTTTGACTAAAGTCTAAAATAGGATTACTGTGATGCAAAATCACTAAAATAGGAATGAAGTGTAAACAAATTATAGTTTGTTGTGGACAGGGATAATGATTAATGAACAATAAATCTTAGAGTTAAAGCAAAGGTTTAATTAGGGTATATGCGAACAGATTTATAATTCTTTAAGTAAACAAATTAAAGTACGATGTGAGGGATTAACTAAAAATTTAGAGAATGATATACCATACATGTATTCGAATAAAACGAAGGTTCAGTGAGGGTATTATTGTAAATCAGGAAAGATGATTATATTTTGTGAAGCTAGATAGATTTAGAGTTTTGAGGTGGAGAGAGGGATTACTGATTAGGGACAAAACAAGAGAAATATCAAAAAAATATCTTAGAAATTAAGGAAAGGTTTGGTGAGCGTAAGTATCATACTAAGCAATGTCTGGTCCATAAATTGCCCTGCTAACGCCATTCCTTCACTCACATTCCAAAATCATTCGCTCTCTGTAATAATGGCAACGGAGAAAAGCAAGATTCTGGTGATCGGAGGAACTGGTTACATCGGAAAGTTCATCGTCGCAGAAAGCGCGAAATCCGGCCACCAAACATTCGCTCTCGTCAGAGAAGCTTCTCTCTCCGATCCCGTCAAGGGTAAAATCGTCCAGAGTTTCAAAGATCTCGGCGTCACAGTACTACATGTACGTTTGAAACTCTACTTCTCTACTAGTTTAATGTAGTTAAGACGGTTCCATGTCTGTGTTAAACTTAAACTATACGTTGATTTGATCGTTTGGTATGGGCAGGGAGATGTGAACGATCACGAGAGCCTCGTCAAGGCAATAAAACAGGTCGATGTGGTGATATCTACTATTGGAAGCATGCAAATCTTGGATCAAACCAAGATCATTTCCGCCATTAAAGAAGCTGGTAACGTCAAGGTTAGTATTTGATTCAAACCCATTCTTACATATAGCAATCCGATATATATGATCTGATGAATGGGCATACATATCCAATCGTTCAACAGTCTCATACTAGATTTGTTGTCGTTGTTGTTTTGCAGAGATTCTTGCCGTCTGAGTTCGGGACAGACGTAGACAGAACAAGTGCGGTTGAGCCAGCGAAATCGGCATTTGCAGTGAAGATTGAGATCAGGAGAGCCATAGAAGCACAAGGCATACCATACACTTACGTTGTTAACAATTGCTTTGCCGGTTACTACTTGCCTACATTGGTTCAGTTCGAGCCCGGTCTCACTTCTCCTCCTAGAGACAAAGTCACCATTTTGGGCGATGGAAATGCCAAAGGTTTACACTTTAAGTCCAATAGAGAAAAATTGGATCTCAAAACAAGGAACAAAATTTTCTTAATATAATAATTGGTTTTTGCAGCTGTGATCAACAAGGAGGAAGATATTGCTGCTTACACGATCAAAGCAGTGGATGATCCAAGGACTCTTAACAAAATCCTCTACATTAATCCTCCTAAGAACACTTTGTCAATGAATGAAATCGTTAGCCTGTGGGAGAACAAGATCGGCAAGTCTCTTGAGAAGACTTACATCTCAGAGGAACAAGTGCTCAAAAGCATCCAAGGTTTTGTATCATTCACAAAGAGTTTTTTTTTTTCAAAGTAGTTTTATTACTTACCGCCTATTTTCCCATTAACTAGCTAGCTGAACTAATAAAAATATGTTTTTTTTTTTTGCTTTTGGCAGAGTCTCCGGTTCCCATCAATGTTCTTCTGTCGATAAACCACTCGGTGTTTGTGAAGGGAGATCAGACCAATTTTACTATAGAGCCTTCGTTTGGTCTTGAAGCATCTGAACTTTACCCTGATGTCAAGTACACGAGTATCGACGAGTATCTCAGTCACTTCGCTTGAGAATTTTCGTGAATATTCGCCTAATTTACCATGACCATGACCATGATCCGGGTTTGTGTATTGTAAGAATAAAAAGCGGTTCTTGTTAATAGTGAAGATTGTTTATGTGTGTGTTTATGTCTAATCACAGAGTTTGTATCACCTCTACTTACGATCTTTCTATGAAACATGAATTTGTATTAATAATTATCCATTAATGTCCAACTCTGTGGAGCTCTTGAGATCAGAGATAGCATACATGGCTAGAGTCTATAAAACTCTGCGGATTCCGCTTATCAGAAACCAATTGGAATCGATAACCATAACTAAGGTGGATAATTGTGGCCTTTTGGGTAAGTAGCTCTTCGGTTTGGTTTTGTTTTGTTGGTTGGTAATTAGTCGTTTGTCTCGTTGGTTTTCTGTTTATAGTAAAAGAAACAATTTTATGTATCTAGACTTCTAGTAGGAAACAGAACATAGTTGGAGTATAAAGAAAACTTTAAACATTAAATTCACGCGGGAAATTCTTGAAAGAGAGGAAAAAACCTTTTGTAAAACTTTCTAATATAGTGAGTGAATTCAAGATCTACTCGATATCGAATCGTTCCCGCATGCATTAAATACTTTCTCAAATTTAGGGAATAGATGCAGCTAGAGGCTTATCGGCGAGACGTTAATTCCCTACGACGGCGTTTAAAACTGGACCTTCTAGCTGCGAATCTATTATGGGCCATTTTAATGGGCCGAAACGATGGACTTTTTTCACATATAAATTTGCTAAAAAGAAAGAACAGCGAAGTAAGCATGTGGCTGGGTGTGAATAATGGAATATGCAATGCATATGGCTGAGAGGAGATTCTCTCAGAGTCCAGAGACTACTTTTAGTAAGAAAGTAGTAACTGAAAACACTTTAAACATGTAGATACATTGGAATAGCCATGGCAGATTAGGTTTCATGATGCCAATGGCCTATCGAAAAGCTTGATATATACATTATTTATTCAATAAAAGATCGAAAATAATGACGGTATATGTATGTATCGTGGGCTCCATTTTTGTGCTTTGACTGACATTATTAGATTCTCGATCTTAAAGCATTCGTTTACTTTTTTTTTCTTCTCAAAAGCTTAATTGACCCTAGATTTATACAGTTAGATCTCAATTGCATAAAAGCTTACCATCATTTAATGTGTGAACTCTAAAGCAATCATCTGTACGTCACATGCCAAGTGTTAATACTTAATAGTTAATACCAATGAAAAATTGAGGCTTTCCGAAATTAAATTGAAAAAATTGTATGTTCCTACAAAAAAAATTGTATGCTCCTAGTTCCTACATGCAATTGTATGTTACGCATTTATAGTGTGCATGTTTGTGAATTTCTATTTAACTACCAATTGGTAACTAGTGAAATAAGTATATATACAGTACTAGATTTAGTTTATGTGAAAATGTCGAGATGTTCTTTCAGTGATGATTTTCTTAACCGAATTATATATCTAGATTAGATATATGCTTCAAATCTACTGAATTATGATACCTTGTGGATGTTGTTTAATTACTTGTTAAGTTCGAATTTCACATATTCTTAGTTTTTTTTTAATAAAAAAAACTTGTATTTGTATTCTAATTAGGCGTTTGATGTGTCCGTACGTTATAAATTGCATGTACTTTTCAAATGTTAACTTATGAGTACAATTTTTCTACATAATTATGCGCAAAGAGGTCAACATCACACACACACTCTTACACATGGATGTCGTTACTTTTTTTTCTTTTTTTTTCTTGAGATGTCATTTCCGTTTGGATTCTTATTACTCCTAATCATAATTTAAATCAATGCATAGTTTGGAAAACGAATTATCAACAACTATATATGTCGTTCGTTGGCGCATTATAATAGTATCATTAGGTGATCAGTGATCACTAAATATATTATTTCATGTCACTTGTAGACCACTACCCGATACAAAATGTCTCTTTGATGTTTCTTTAAGTAAACAATCTAACTTTATTTTGCGCTCTATATTCTGAAGGGAACAAGAACAATAAACCTGTTGGAATTTCTAATATTTAGTTGTATAAAATACTTAAAGCGGTGATAGCAGGAACGATCTTGGAAATGGCGAAGAGTGTTTGGTTTTTATTCGATCTGTGAATATATTATGTTCATAGTATTTTGTCGATAACATATGAATTTTGTCCAGAAATGCATGACTTCTGGCTCCTGGTGATTGCCAGCAACTATGAAGCTGTGAATCATTACATTTTCTACCAAACGTGTGCATATATGGTCATTCAATTGATCAATTCATATACTTGGTCCAAATATATATGTGTGTGTAAATTTTTGTCGTACTTAACTTGGACCAGCCTGTGTAATATAAAGTTTTGGACCACATCCCAATACACACCAAGGGAAGTTTCAAATTAACATCATGAATGTGAGTCATATGACCAAATAAAACTATTGCAACTGTTGGCTTGTTTTCTGTTTTTTTTTTTTTTTTTTTCAAAATTTTGGAGTGCATGAATATTAATAATATATGTGGGGGGGGGGGGGGAAGTGTTTGTTTGAAATAAGAATATGTGGGAAGTTGTTGTGACAAAAATTCATGTCTTTGTATCAAAACCATGTGTGATCATTCGAGATAAAGACATACACAAAGGCTTAATATACACTTTTTTTTTTCCACCTAAAAACTACTTAAAGCTCAGACGTTGATCCGAAACTGACTTCCTTCTCGAGAAAGCCAATCGAGAGCCGTCGAGCCAAAGAAGTCGAACTCGCATCCTTGTGCCCTAGCTTGTTTAGCAAGAAAATTCGCGTAGACGTTATCCGCTCTAGAAATGCGCTTTAAGCTGAACGGAATGAAAAACCGTTGAAGGCTAGCAGTATCTTCAAGCTCAGAGGCAAAGGATGGCCACTCTGCGGGGTTATCCACCATGTTGACAAGGTCAGCGCAGTCCGAGACGAAGACAATCCGAGGCAGAGAGAGCTCCTTGAGGCATTCCATCGCCCAGAGCAAAGCTTCAAGTTCGGAGTGGAGGGGAGACGGGACCCTCCTAGAGGCTTTCAATCCCAAGTAAAGAAGGACACTCCCTTGCCGTAAACACCAGCCATAGCCACTAAAGGTGTCGGAGTCCTTCCATGATCCATCCAGAGAGCACACTAATTGGTTCGGCATAGGGGAGAATAGATCGCATTGGGGAATGCCCCGGTGCTGACTGGCTTCATCTTTGGCATTAGCCAAACTCCAAGCTGTAGCCTCTTGGACTGCGTGGTTAAGAGTGTCTCGAGGATCTTCATCAAAGTTATCAAAGACCTTCCGATTTTGGGCTTTCCACGTGAACCACAGGATCCACGGAAAGGCTTTAAGAGATTCTTCGGAGCATCCAACATCCTTTGCGCGCCAGAAGAGAAAGTCAAAGGATGCATATAAGGAAGAAGATGGGAACACCATCGGGGCCGATGGGATCGCGGAGAGGGCCCATAACTGGCGGGCTGGAGGGCATTCAAAGAGTATATGATGGATCGTTTCCTCTCCCGTTCCACAACGGGGACAATCTCCATCTCTTGCGATATGTCGAAGGAGGAGACGATGATTAGTTGCCACACCTCCCGAAAGGCATTGCCACATGAAATGCATGAGCTTTCGTGTAGTTTAATTTTCCAAACTTGTGTCGTGAGTGCGGAGAGACTCGGTCCCTGAACAGGGGGCCACAAGTAAGGCGAGACAGGGATCTCGCGACAAGGTATCCGGTTCTGACCGTGTATATGCCGGATTTGGTGAGCGGCCAATTATAGCCGTCTCTCGAGACTGAGCGGCTCGGACGTATCCCTTGAATCAGGGTAATTTCCTCCGGAGGGAAAAGTTCTTGTAAAAGCTCCGTCTTCCATTGCTTTGTCTCAAAATCTATCAGGGCATTGACGTAGAGCAGGGGGTCTCTTGGTTCACCAGTTCCTCTCGGGGGTCTAGCCGGTGAATCCGGGATCCATGGTTCTGTCCACACACATGTATCGAAGCCAGAACCAATGATCTTTCTAATATTTGAGCGCAGAAGGGGTTGAGCCGCCATGATGCTTCTCCACCCGTAGGATGGACGGTTTGACACTGATATTTCCAAGGGACTACAATATTTGTAGTATCTTCCTTTCAGGATTCTACTTAACAGGGAATTGGGAAACCGTAGAAATCTCCACAATTGCTTACCCAAAAGTGCGATGTTAAAATCCTCCAAGTTCCGAAATCCTAACCCTCCTTCGTCCAAACTAGTACAAACCTTGTCCCATGCTAGCCAATGAATTCCCCCACCATTTATCTTGGTACTCCACCAGAAGTTCGCGATGGCGCTGTTTAATTTTGAGCGAATAGCTTTTGGAAGAAGATAGCACGACATTACATATGTCGGAAGTGCCTGAGCTTGAGACTTGATCAAAATCTCCTTGCCTCCTTTAGAAAGGAGCTTAGCTGACCATGAATTAGCACGACTTTGAAGCCGGTCTCTCACGAAGGCAAAGACTTGAACCTTTGATCCTTGAATCTTCTCCGGAAGACCGAGATACATCCCCATTCCTCCTTCTTGGGTAATCCCGAGGATATCTTTGATTTCCAGTCTATTTTGAGTGGGGACATGATTTCCAAACATTAGGGATGATTTTGCATAGTTGATTTTTTGTCTGGAAGACTCACCATACGAGTGGTTGATATCAATAACTTCTTTGCATTGGTTGGTATCTGCCTTGCAGAAGAAAAGGCTGTCGTCAGCGAAGAGGAGATGGGACGTCGCCAGACTTTCTCGAGCAATACGAATCCCTTGAATTTTCCGGCCTCCTCCGCCCTCCTCAGCTGAGCTATCAGAGCTTCCGTGCACAAAATGAATAGATGGGGCGATATCGGGTCTCCTTGACGGATCCCCCGTGTAGGTTTAATGCTCCCTCTCGGAACTCCGTTGACAATAATCTTGTATGAAACAGACGAAATGCAGAACATTATCCACTTAATCCAACGAGGGTCAAAGCCCATTTTCTCCATCAAAGACTTCAGAAAGTTCCACTCAACCCGATCATATGCTTTGCTCATGTCCGTCTTGATAGCCAGCTTAATATACACTTTTATAACGCCACTTGTTTTCTAGTAAAATTTGATCCCTTCTCCTTTTTTTTTCCGATTTTAGTTTTCTTTTTTTTGCATGATTTGTATGAAGACCAAATTTTATTACAACATCTTAGGATACCAAACCTCAATATATCATCATAATAAAACCAAAAGAAAAATCATCACATCACACTCAAAGAAAAGAATCAGACTCAAATAAAATGTGTTGAGCTAAGCGTATAGATAGAATTCAAGACCGGGGCAGCAGTTAATTATACATCATCACAAACAATTCCCAACTAATTTTATTTGGGTGCAAATCATAACTTGTATGTCATTCTAACATTTTGTAACCATAATATTCTTACATTTACAAAATAAAACTGTGACAATTTGACAACAGGCAAGAGCCTAATAATGTTTAACGGTCGCCAGGGTACAGAAAATCATAGCTTTTCACTATGCTACTTTCCGAAGATACCCTTATGATATTTTATGGACTACTGATGACAGCTTGGATATATTTGTCTTTTCAACATATATAGGCAAAAAACCATTTGGATATTCGTAAAGCATATGTACATTTTTTTGTTTATACTCTTATGGTATCATACAAAAAAAAAGCTTATAGTCAAGATGGACTACTAGTAGTGTTATATATATTAGCTGGCTGCTAATACGTAGTTTGCTAATATTAAAGTATCATGATGGTTCTAATGTACTTTTTTTTTGGGTCACCAAGTTCTACTGTAGATTTGAGTGTTATTTCCTCTAAATATACCAAAAAAGGCTATAATATTGTACGGACCCTCAAAAATGTACAACACCAATATCTCTTGACGACGTATTACGTATATATATATATATATATATAATAAACTGTAGAAAATAACAAGCAATTAAAACAAATGAGCAGAAAGACAAAATTGAGGTATGACAAGACATTATTACATGTTTTCTCTGTATTGCAAACTAATAAAAAGAAAGATTGGCGTGTGAAATAGTTTTGATTTGACACAATTTATACTCCTACTCCCCATTAAAATAAAACACACAAAGACAGATTAATGACTCGCCTATCAATTTATATATGTGCACAGTAATATTAAGAAATGGTAAGGCATCTTATTAAAGTATTAATGAAAGAGATTGACCGACACATATTAACGTTAATTTGGTTATTGTTGTTGTACTACCTTAGCAATGATAATAATCTCGCGATATATACAGTTCTCAATTATTTACGGACAGTTACTATTATTTTGTTCACGCGCTTTTTCGAATTATTTATCTATATTTATTAGTATGTTTTTAATCTAGGCAGAAAAAAAACAGCTCATAGCTCTCACTCTCATCTCTCTCTCTCTCTCTAGCTCTCTCTTTAGCTCTGCAGATTTTTCGTCTGCAAAGAGGGAAAAACCAGAGAGAGCGACAAAATAGGAAGAGATCAGTGCTAAGAAGGAACTGTAATCAGAAACCCTAACAAAAGGCCTTTTATCTCCTTCCTTTCAATCCCAGAAATGGAGTACGACAAGTCTCCCGCTGCTACTACTTTCTCCAGGAAGATGAGTAACCGTACCCATAGCCTTAGCTTTAGCGCCAATGCCGTATACGACGGCGTTTTTGCTTCTCCGGCGAGTACTAAATCTCCTCTGGTTGATTACAGCGAGATTTTCCGAGCCTCGGGTCCTTCTCCGTCGTCGATTCCGTTTCTCGATGTCCCTGAGCTTAACGGTGGTAAGGTTAAGGTCGATGTTCGGAGTTCCAATCTCGATTACTCTTCGGTTTTTGGAGGCTTTGGAGCTTGCGATTTCGCTTTTACCCCCAAGGAAGTGATCATCAAGTCTCCAAGGAAAACCGCCAAAAACGATGATAAAAGGTAATTTATCTACTCGTTTCTCCGCTTAAACCTTAACCTTAAAGGATATCAAGGGTTCTTCATTTTTCCTTTCGACACACACTGAATCAGAGCTGATTCTGCTTTCCTTACACTAGGCTGTTCATAGTTTCAGCTCTCTGTAGTTGTGATGAGTTGAATCTGTGTGGAATTTTATAGAGGTTTTGCTGGAGACTCTTCTGAGAGCTACACCATTGAATAGTGGAACACTGGTCTCTGTTGTTGAGCTTTTGCTTGTTTCCCAATGTGTAGGAATCGTAGGAAAGGTGGAAGCTCTTCTGATGTTCCTCTTTGCAACGAGGCCAAGAATCTAAATTCGTCACCTGAAATGATTAGGATGAAGCACTCTGATTTATCACATCACCAGACCGGCCAGCGCAATGAAAATGGGACTACTCATCCTAGTCAGGTCCCCACTGTGGCTGGTCCTACTCAACTGGTTGATAACATGAGTCCGTTGCAGAAGAATGAAAGTAAAACACCTGTTCCGTCAGTTGAGAAGAAGCCATGTAGTGTGGGTGTTGAGGAAGTCAAGGCTTCTAGGAAGCGGAGTTCTAAAACTGAGGTAGGTTCCGAGAAACTCATTGGTCGAAATGAATGCAGTATGCGTGATAACTCCACGTGCAAGACCGATTCTAGTGCTGAACATCTGGATGTGAAACCACCTTCAAGCTTGCATCGTGTAGGCAATGGTGAAAATGGAGCTTCTGAAAGATTAATGGGATTGAAGTTGGGGATTTCAGGAAGGTTTCAAACTGAAGATGATGATTCTCCAGGTTCACCTTCATACTTTGATGCTGAAACAGATGTAAACTCGTCTGCTGCTGAGTCTTCTGCGGCATTGAAAAAGGCTATTGAAGAGGCTCAAGTAAGAATGAATATTGCAAAACAAATGATGGAAAGGAAAAAGTCAGGCTTTCGCAGTTCTGCAAAACCGAAATCTTGTGATGAACCTAAAGTTGAGATTAAAGAGGACATAACAGTTGAAGGAATAACAGAAGAAATCAGAGACAACAATTCTCAAATACTAGGTGAATTGGTAAACTCTTCTGAACAGTCTTGTTCAAACGAGGGAGATCAGCATGCAAAAAGAGCAAGGAAGCTGTGGGAAGTTCCTGAAGGAATTTTAAAACCTACCTCAGACCATACGCGGGAAGAGCTTGAAGAGCAAGAACTGGTAAAGATGGAAGAGGAACATGCAAGAAGAGATCGAAAACACTGGGAATTACCTGGAGGGATATTCAAATCAGTTATGAATAGTAAGCAGCAGGAGCCAGAAAACCTTGCACCAGCCAAACCTGAAACTGATATGAAACAAGAGGTGCAACCATTGACTGAAAATCCCTTCTATACATTTGGACAGCTTGGTAGTAAAATAAAATGTGTTGTAGAGGCCTTCACGGGGAGCAAGGTTTCACAAAAGGATGAGCCACAGGTAATAGAAAAGGAAAATTCTATCCTTCCTCAATTGGTTCAAGGTGAACAAAGTGACTCACATGAGATGTTACCTGCTACAAGGGAAGTGGAAGAGACCCCGCAAGAAACTGAGAGTAAGAGAAAAACTAAAATAGAGGAGAAATCTGAATCTATAATGTGTACTTTGGCAGAGGGGTGTTCTCAGAAGATGGATCGAGAAACAGGATGGCAGGTTGAAAGTGCTTGCGAGTTCGAAGATGGATCCAAGTTTGCTGTAAAAGATGTCCAAGAAAACCCTGACCCAACTTACAATTTTCTAGATCGGGAAGGTGAGAAGGAAATAGTCTCTAGGCCGCAGGAGATATTTGTTGGTCCTGATGATACCAATACATATGTAAAGGAAGTGGAAGTGTTCCCAACACCTGATCAGAGTTTGAGTAAAACTCAGTGCGATGAAAGTGTTGGAACTATGGTGTCTTTTGCCACAGAAAATACTCCTGAGCCAGGAAATATACACGAGGAGACAGGGCACAAGGCTCCCAGGCGAAGAAGAGTTTGGAAGACCTCTGAAGACGTCTATAATATGATAAAGGCTCCGAAGGGAAATAACAGGCCCTGGCAGCTAGAAAGTGGGGAAACAGAAACAACTCAGAGGTCATTTCAAATGGAAGGTGTAAAGATCCGTGATCCTAGCGAGGAAACAGAAAGCACATCTGAGCAAGCTAATGATTCAGGATTGCAAGAAAATTGGACCGTTCTTAAACAAATGTTTAGACAGATGTTTCAGACAGCAGATACGACAAAGGGCGAGGATGAAACTTATTGCTTACTGGAATCTGAAAAGGAGTATATTGATATCCATCAAAAAGCTGGAGATGAGAATGGAAAAGAACCTGCAGAGACTTCTTACTGCCAGACGACTGGTACAAATATATATGAACAGAATGAAGTGGAGACGGAGTATGAAGCCTACGCACATACAAGAGAAAATGAAGACTTGGAGTCGGCACAAGAAAGATACTATAGAGAAGAGGATGGTAGAGTAGAAGTGCAAGGAAAAACGTCTTTGGTCCGTGAACTGATTGGAGAAGAGCTAAAGGCCACTGGAATGGCTAGCGACCAAGAAGGTGAAGATGTACCGGAAGTATTTCAAGAATCTGGCTGGGATCAAGGATTTTCTGAACTTGATGAGATAAACGAGCGGGCTGAAATTCTTGAATATGATCGTAGTGAAACGGACTCAAATAAATCTGACGAGATGTTTGAGCAAAGGCGGGAACTAGCAGACGAAATCAAGATCGACGGTAGTATAGATACTGACACCAGCAGGTCATCTTTTGAAATAAGACAAGGTGATTCATATGCTGAGGAGGTTGGCGTTGAGCAAGATCTCAGTGATCAATTCCATGAAAAAAACAGTGCTGCTAGCAGCACAGAAGAGCACGTTGAAGAAATAGATTCTGATTCAATTCAAAGTGGTTGGAGTGTTGTAGAGGATGACGACAAAATCAAGTCTTATGTGGAGGTAAGTTTGGCTGGTCATCTGCAGGATCAAGGAGCAAGCAAGCCTGAAGAATTGGAGGAAACCAAAGAAGAAGCTGATGAAATGAAAACAAGTCTTGGTGAAGGGAACAATGAAAATAAGACAGAACAAGAGCACCCGTTGGAGAGT